CGCGTGGACACGTGCGACTTGCCCGCCTCCTGCTCCTTGCACATCCCAAAGTCGCTCAGCTTCGCCGTCCAGTCCTGCCAGCCCCGCCGCCAATGCCACCACCCAGAAGCATTTGGGGAGGAGGGGAAAGGGATGTGGTGAGTGAGGTGTGGCGTGGACAAGAGCACTGGAGTGGCAGGAGGGGACGGATTTGAGCAAAAGGAGGAGATATCATGCGGGGCAGGCGTGAAGTCTCCCCCAAACTCCACTCCACGAGAAGGTGTAATGGGGCCTACTGTTCGTCTCCCCATCCCCCACGGTCACGGTCATGGCACCCGCCCTATGCCCCCCGTCAACCCAACCACACGCTGCCATGGACGGTGAGCAGCCTTGCTTGCTCCACGCCCACCCACCACCTTGCCACTTTGGCCAAATCTCCCAGCCTGACAAATTACTTGTACAGCAGCAACCTCCCCAATCACATACCTCCCATGCACGACCAGTCACCCAGGCGCACCCTTCCCACTAGTGCCTTCCTCCCCACCTTCCCCTGCCCATACCCCTCTCCTCCCCCCCCTCTCCACCCCTCTTGCACTGACGGCATCAAGCAGCACGCCAGCGCCTCAAACTTCACCCCAGCAGCACCCAGCACCATGCCAGCTTGCCTGAATCTCCCTCCCACCCCTCCCCTTGCGCTCACCGCATCGAGCAGCACGTTGGAAGGCTTGAAGTCGCGGTGAATGACGTCGTTGGCGTGCAGATACGCCAGCGCCTCAACCCCCCCTCCTTCCCCACCCAACCCCCAGTGCGCTCACCGCATCAAGCAGAACATTCGAAGGCTTGAAGTCGCGGTGGATGACATCATTGGCGTGCAGATACGCCAGCGCCTCCGCCGCCTGCCACGCCACGCTCACCCGCCGCTCCCACGAGAATGGCTCCTGCCCCGCGCGCTTGCCTGCCCGCATGCACAGAGTGGGGGAGATGGGGAGAGGACGGCGGGATGGGTGTACGGCGGGGGAGGGAGAAGAGTGGGGGAAACGGTAAGTGGCGAAGGACGGGTGGGGGAAGGGGGGGGGGGGGGGGGGGGGGGGGGGGGAGGGGGGTGTGGGGAGAGGGGAACGGAGAGGGGGGAAAGAGAGGGATGGGGTGGACAGGAGGTTGAATGACGGTGAGTGGAAGGACCCGTTACTTGGCGAGGCTGAGGCTGGTGGTTATGGGAGAGAAGGGCGAATGAGGGGGTTTGTTGGATCTTGAGAGAAAAGCTGGGAGAGAGAGGAATTGGAGGGAAGGAATCAGAAAAGCGGCTTACGGTTGAAGAGGGCGGATTCAACGCTGTCGTTGGCGTAGTAGTGGTAGACGAGCAGGCACTCGCCCTTCTCCTTGCAATACCCCACCAGCTCCACCAGATTCGCATGCTGCAGCCGATCCAAAATCAGCACCTCCGCCTGCTCACAGCCAGGCACACGCACCCAGGTGAGCACGAGGGGGGGAAGGAAGAGGGCGGGGGTGAAGATGGGGAGGGGAGGAGAAGAGGGTGAGATTCGCATGCCGCAGCCGATCCAGTATCAGCACCTCCGCCTGCTCAGCGCCGGGCACCCAGCGGTGCACGAGGTGGGGAAGGGAAGAGAGAGGGGGGTGAAAATGGGGAGGGGAAGGGAGGTGAGGGGAAGGGGGTGCGAGGGGGTGGGAGGGGGTGGGAGGGAGTGAGCCAGAGGTGCGAGGAGAGGATATGGATGGATGCGGGGTGCACCTTGCTTGAGAGAGAGGGGGAGGCGAGGGGAGGAAGAGAGGAGAGAAGACGGGCGATACACGAGCCTCCATCCTCGCTCACCCCGCTGGCAACGCAAAGGCACGGCCGCAGGCAGCAGCAAGCACCCCCACCCACTGCCACACAACCCCCAAGCCTGCACACACCCCCCAAGCCTGTACGGAACCTCCAAACGTACGCGCACCTCCCAAGTATGCGTGCCCCACAAGCGGGCACGTCCCAGAGCCTGCGCGCACCCCCAAAGCTTGCGCGCATCCCCCAAGCCTGTGCGCACCCCCCGAACCTGTGCGCACCATCCAAGCGGCTTAATTTCTGACTCGACTCAAAAGTCACCCCCCAACCGGCACGCATCCCCAAACCTGCAGACACCCCCGCACGGCACGCACCAGCCACTCGTCGACGCCCTGCTGGCTCTCCGCGCTGAGCCGCTTCACCGCCACGTCGACCGCGCGCCCGTCGAGCTCCGCGCTGCCGCGATACACCATGCCGAAGGAGCCCTCGCCCAGCACGGGGCACTTGGACGAGAAGCCGTCGCACATGTCGCGCACCTCGCGCAGCTTGAACTTGCGCAGCGGCCGCGCGCCCTCCGTCGCCGTCGACTCGACCGCGTCCGTCGGGCGCGCGTCGACCTCCGTCGTGGCTGTCATTTGCGATTCTGGCGGGGGGGCATGATGGGCGGGGGGGCATGTTGGGCGGGGGGGGGTGATGGGCGGGGGTGCATGATGGGCGGGGGGGGATGATGGGCGGGGGGGCATGATGGGCGGGGGGGGATGATGGGCGGGGGGGCATGATGGGCGGCACGCAGGGAGAAGGTGAGGGGGCAGAGGTTGGGACGGGAGATGGCACGGTCAAGCACACGAGAGAGAGGGAAACACGAGAGCGCAGTCAGCAGCGAGACGACGACCGAATGACGGAAATGGCAGCCGCATATGCCTCTCGCTGCACCCTTCCCCCCCCTCTCGCGTCCATACGCTGTTTATATCACTCGCGCCGCGACGTCTTACAGTACCTTGCACTGTAACGGATTTCCCTGTCGGCTTCTGCGAAACTGCGTGGTTGCTATGCCCCCCCGCGTCGTCCTTGCCGGCCACCTCCACCGACACGGCGCACCCCATCGCGATAACGAGCGAATCTATAACGGGTACGACGGCACACCCGCTGCGTACGAGTGAGAACGGCGCAGGCACGGATGGCTAGAGCATGCCGCGCGTTGGGTGCTTCCGTTTCAGAGCTGGCTGATCCGCTAAAAGCTAATGCTTTTAAAGTCAAGTTACTATTTTCAATAGCTACGTCGTACTTAATGGTATAAATAGAACACTAGCTACCTAAGTCGATTGACTAAGCGGTAACAGATGGCAGCAGAGGCGGCATAACCTAACATCGTGCTGCAATGCGGCGATCCGCGGGATTGGATGGAAGCTGAGTGAGGTGAAGCACACGACGAGCATGACGTCATGGCGCACGCACATTTAAATAACTATCGTCGCTACCCACGGCGCCATAGACGCTTCATCGGACTGTACTGTTGGGCCGCCAAGACGCGGTGAAAGCTGAGAGGTTTGGTCAGGTTGGGTGTTGCTGTGTCTGCTGGGCTGACACGCTCTCATGATCGTGGGCGTGGTGATGGTCTTGCTCGCACTCTCACTCTTCCTCCTCGCACTCAACCGAACCAAACCGCCGCTTAACTGCCAGCCAGGCCAGCCTTTGCTTTCGGCTGTGCGCGACTGAGAGGAAGCGCGAAAAGCCCCGCTGTGTGGTCAATGCTGCCTCGCACGGCCAAGCCCGGAGCAGGCGAGACGCAGAACCTTCTGGTCGGTGCTATTCGCGAAATAGACCTCTGCGATAAGTACATTGCAATAACTATAGCTCGGAATGGCACTGCTTACATCCGTCTTGGCAAGCGAAAATGCATGGCAATACTATATATTAGCTTGGCCATGAAGCTCCTCCAGAGTAACGCATATTCAATAATTCCATCAATTTCAGTGGCTAATGCTAGACATCTTCATCTTCAAGAACGTGTTGCTTATGCAAAGGGCTGCAGGGACAAAGAAGCACCCAAGTTGAAAGTGTTTGTAGCGAGAATGAATGTGAAAGAGGCTCAACCCAGCATCCCAGATCCCTCTATCGCCCGCATCCACATCAGTCTGCTAATTCCCTCGACTAGCTAGACCGATTACCTCCTCTTCCCGCCGTACGTAACTACCGTCGCCTAATCTCCATCGCAACACGAAAAGCTTTGTTCAGCGAAGCTCGCGTTTCAGCTGAACCGCAAACAGGCAAACACTCTGCAGATTGTAGCGGCGCCGCGGAGCGCATCATGGCGCACTGGAGCCCGTACGACAACAACGGCGGGTAAGATCCCGAGGCTTACACCTTTACCATTCGCGATGAGAATTCGCGAAATATCGATCCCTGCTGCGTTTGTACGGTGTAGGACTGCGAGATTTCCGCGGTAGAAGCGGGTGGTCCTTGGAGTTGTCGCCGTTGCGGCCGTACGGCAGCCGACTATGCGCTCCGCTCGTATGCGAGCCACTTGCTGCAGGGTGATGGGGGCGCTCCGCTTGCGCTCTAATCGTCCATTTGCCAGCTCCTCTCGCGCGCACCTTCTTGGAAGTGCCGATCCAAGTTCATACATTCCGACCCTGTTCCAATTCGCCATCCTCCCTGTCTGCCCCATCCGCCCATCCGCCCATCCGCCCATCCGTCCATCCCCCCCCCCCCCCCCCCCCCCTACGCCCGTCCGTCCCATCCGCCCATCCTTCCTTCCGCGCTTCCCGCACCCGAACCATCCGTTCATCCGCCCATCCACCGTACCTGCCGATCCGCCCATCCTCCTCTCCGCCCTTTCCCCCGTCGCCCAACCGCCCAATTCGCCCTTCCCCCCGTCCGCCCGTCCCCCCACCCCCACCTCCCCCGCCCGCAGCACGAGTATGGCGGTGGCGGGGAGCGACTTCGCGATAGTGGCGGGCGACACGCGCCTGTCCACGGGCTACAGCATCTACACGCGCTCCGCCTCCAAGATCTTCCGCATGTCCGCCCCGCTCCCTGCTCTCCCGCCCCCCGACCTCTATCGCTCATCTCCTTCTCCCCGTTCCTATTGCTCCTCCGCCCACGTCGCCCTTATCCCCACCACCCTCTCTCTCCTCCCCTACCTTCCTCACCCCCCTCTCCCCGTCACTCCCTGTTCGCCTGTTGGTCTGGTCCCACGGCGACTCCGTTGGCCAGCGGGGTGTCGCGGGGCTGTGGAGTGCAGCCTCTCTTGTTTTTTGAGAATTCTCAAAAAACATCAGCCTCTCTTGTTCCTTTCTCTGCCTCTGTTGCCTCTCAGCGTCCCTTCTCGCCCCCTTTGCCTTGCGCCTTCCTCCCAACCCCTCATGCGCTGCACCCTTCCCCCGTAACCTCCGTTTTGCTGCGCATTCCCCGTCCCCGCTCCCACCCCACTTGCCCTGCGCCTCCCCTTTTCCTCTCCCACCCACCCACCCCCACACCTTTCCGCGCGCCCATGCCCCCGCAGCTCGGACCGCTGTGTGCTGGTGAGCCCGGGCTTCCCCCCTCACCCCAATTGCCCTGCGCCTTCCCCTCCCCTCTCCCACCACCCCTCTCCGCGCGCCCCCTGCCCGCCAGCTCGGACCGCTGTGTGCTGGTGAGCTCGGGCTTCCAGGCGGACCGGCGCATGCTGCAGAAGGTGCTGCACCAGCGGCATGAGGTGCGCATGGGGGGCCGGACATGTGGGGAGCGGGCATGGTGGGGCGGACATGGGTGGTCGGACATGGGGGTCGGGAAGGGCATGGGGGGCGGGCAGGAGGGGCTGGGCATGGGGTGGAAAGGTTGATGCTGCAGAAAGTGCTGCACTTGTACTGCACCATGAGGTGCGCGTGGTGTGCGGTGGGTGGGGAGGCATGTTAGGGAGGGGAGGGCAGGCATGGCAACGATGGGTGCTCCACTCCCGACATGGGCGCGCATGGGGGCAAGCATGGGGGGCGGAGGCTGATGATACTACAGAGGCTGCTTGCTGCGTGGCAGTGGGGCACACGAGTCCCCTGAATCTGGGCTTTGCGGTGTGCAAGGAAACATCTTCCAGACCTGACTTTGCTTATACCTCCCTCATTTTCCCTCAACCCCCAACCCCAACACTCCCCGCCCTGTTACCCCTCTCCCCTCCCCCAACCCTGCGTGTGGCAGGTGTACCAGCAGCAGCACAACGAGGAGATGGGGTGCGAGGCGATGGCGCAGCTGCTGGCCAACACGCTCTACTACAAGCGCTTCTTCCCTTACTACACCTTCAACGCCCTCGCTGGATTGGATGTTAATGGTGAGCTGCCCAAACCTTGGTTGCTGCCATGCTGCATGCACCATGCCACATCCCATGCCATGCACTCCATGTTTGCTGCACACTGCTCTTATCATGGTTGTCTCTTTTTGTGGCTCTCAAAGGCACTTAACGCTTCGTTTCTCCTCAACTCCCTCACTGCATGCCCTCGTCACCACCTCCCCTTTGGCGCGCGCACCACCAGGAGTGGGGTGTGTGAACGGGTACGGTGCGGTGCGGTCACACGAGAGGCTGGGGTACGTGGTGCATGGCACGGGGCTTGCTTTGCCGCATCATAGCCACTTAACCCCTCTTCTCATCTCCCCCACTCCACTCCCTCGTCACAATCCCCCTCCGCCCCCTTGAGTGCATCACCAGGTGTTGTGTCTGTGTATAGGTACGATGCGGTGGGGTCGCATGAGAGGCTGGGGTGTGTGGTGCATGGCACGGGCCTTGCTGCCCATGCCGCATGCACCATGCTCCATGCCATGCCGTGCGACCATGCCATGCACACCACGTGCGCTGCATGCTGTTTTTTGAAAATGCTCAAAGCCTCCTCATCCCCCCACTCCATTGCCCCATCACCACCATCCCCTTGGTGCGCGCACCACCAGGAGTGGGGTGTGTGTATGGGTACGATGCGGTGGGGTCGCACGAGCGCCTGGGGTACGTGGTGCACGGCACGGGGCAGCAGCTCGTCGTGCCCGTGCTCGACTCCCAGCTCAAAGCCGCCAACCCCCTCGTGCTGCCGCCCCAGGTGCGCACTGCACCGCACGGCCGCAGGGATAGATGCTGGCTTGGGTGTGTGCTTACTATGCTGTGTCGTGCCCTCCAATATGCTCGTTCATCTGTGCTTGTAACACAGCAGAAGTATCCTCTCAACTCTTCTGTGTGTCTGCATGTGCGCTCTGCCTTATACCCTCTGTGTGCTGTGCCGTGCAGCCACTGGCAACGAAGCTATCACAGGAGGAGGCGGTGGACCTCATCAAGGACACCTTCGCCTCCGCTGCAGAGCGCGACATCTACACTGTGCGTGCCCTGCCCCCTGCCCCCCCCTGCCCCCCTAGTCGTTTAAAGAGCCCCTCTTTTGCCTCCGCTGCAGAGCGCGACATCTACACCGTGCGTGGCCCCCTCCCTCTGCCCTTGCAATCATTCACCCTTTAGTTCGCTCGTCTGCTGTTTCTTCCTCTCTCCTCCCCTTCCCACCCCTCTGTGTGTCAATGGAACCTCTATGTGCGATCAGTTCATGTTTCTTCTTCTCTGCACCCGCTTTGCTGATCGCTGCATGCGTTCATGTATGTGTATGTCTATGTGTGTGTGTGTGGGTGGGGGGGG